TTCTTTTTTTTTAGGTTGCTTAAATCTTTATTTTTATTTTTTTAATTTATTTTTTTAATCAATCTTTATTCTTCATATTATTACAAAGGTTCCTCATTTCTTCTCCCCTCCACTAGGTTCCCACTCCACCCTCCACCCCCTCCCCATCCTCCATTGTCCTCATCCACAGGTGCACAGTTTATGTTCAGTCTCTTCCTCCCTCCCTTTCCCAAATAGTAAAACCCTTTTCAGATAGTAAATCAGTTACTTAGCATTTTCTCATATCAATAATACCACCACATGCCCAATGATACACTTCACACAAAAGACATTTCCAAATAGGTCAACCAGCCTCATCCAGGCCCACCCAAGGCACTCACAGATCAAAACCCCAGTGCTATACTAACTCAACACATCCAGATCTAAGCCTTCATCACTTGATTCAGCAGACCCTCAAGTTCCCGCAAAAGTTTCCAGCCAAGTCTGAGAGGCAGCCGTGGGTCAGGGGCAGGCGAGGAGCGAGCTGTTCCGGGCCTGGCTGCTCCGGGCCTGGCCTCTGTTGCTCTGGTTCATTCCACAACCAGCTGCTCCGGGTCTGGTCACTGCTGCTCCCGACCTTGTTGCTCTGGACTTGGCTGCTGCTGCTCCGGGCCTGGCCGCATCTGACCTGGCTGCTCTGGGCCCAGCTGCTCTGGGCCCGGCCACTCCGGGCCTGCCGCTCCCAGCCTGGCAGCCGCTGCTCCAGGCCTGGCCACACCAGACCCGGCTGCTCCGGGCCTGGCCGTTCCCAGCCTGGCAGCCGCTGTCAAGGATTCCTTATTCCAGTGGTTCAGAATAATCCGAAAATTAAAAAAAAAAAAAAAATGTTTATGCTCCGTTCTTGACCTTACCAATACTTCTGGGGGTGAGGTCTGGTATCAGTACAGAAACTCCCCTAATGATTCAAATGTGCACTCAAAGTTGAGAACGTTATCTCCTGTCCTTATCTCTAAACTTCTTTCCTTCCTGTCTTTGGTTTAAATTTACTTGAGCAGCAAAAGTATTTTCAAAAAATCCTAATAAATAACACAAATTAAAGGGATAAACAATGTGATGGTTAATTTTATGTATCAATTTGAGTAGCCACTCGGTGCCCAAATAAAACATCATTTCTGAGTGTGTGTTTATGTGTGTGGGGGGGGGGGGGGGGGGGGACACGTTGAGGGTATTTCTGAAGGAGATCAGTATGTGAATTAATAGACCCAGTAAGTTGCCCTCCCTAATGTGTTTGGGCATCATCCAACCTATTAGTGGCCTAAATAGAACAAAAGTTGAGAAAGGAAGAATTTATCCCTTTATTCTTGTCTCATTGCTTGAACTGGGACTTCTCATCCCATCTTCTTTGCCCTGGGACTGGGAATTACATCTTCAGCTCCCCTGTTCTCAGAGCTTCAAACTTGGATTGCATTACATCACTGGTGTCCCTGGGTCTCCAATTTACAGAGGATTGTGGGTCTTCTCTGCCTGCATAACTGCATGAGCCAATTCCTCATAATAAGTCTCCAGATAACCAGGTGATAGATGATAGATAGATGATAGATGATAGATAGATAATCTCCTTTTAGTTCTATTTCTCTCCAGACCACTGATAGTGTCTTTAGGCAACTTAAATCTCCACTGTTGCTCTAATCAGTTTGGCTCAGTGGACAGAGCGTTGGCCTGCAGACTGGTCCCAGGTTTGATTCCAGTCAAGGGCATGTACCTTAATTGCAGGCACATCCCCTATAGGAGGTGTGCAGGAGGTAGCTGATTGGTGTTTCTCCCATCAATGTTTCTAACTCTCTATCCTTCTCCCTTCCTCTCTGTAAAAAATCAATAATATATATACTTTAAATCTCCATTGTTTGCAAAATTCTAATATTAATTCAATGGAGATCTAGGGTTCCAGTGAAGCATTTAAAAACTACTTTTTCAGGCCTTGGAATATCCAGAGCAATTACCCAAATTGGGTAAATGGTGCCATAGCAACTCCCCATGCACTCCTCATAAATTCACTTATGGATCAGTCTCTGAGCTATGTGGCAAATGCAGAGATAAGAACAACCCTTCTAGGCTTCAAAATATCTCTTGGCCTAATGTAGAAGACCAAGACAATTCAGTGTGCATTCATTCAACACAAATTGAGTTCTTATGATGTTCCACTTTGATTCTATATTCTAGGAATGCAGAGAAAAATCCTTTTACTCTCTGATTTTACCTTCTAACCAGGAAAAACAGACATAAACAAAGTAAGTAAAACTTATACTATGTTAAAAGAAATAGGAAGTGTTGAAGAAGTTATAATTTTAATGTGGATGGGAAGTCATGGGTCACAAGAGGAAATACAGAAGAGACACCTTGAAAATAGTTATACTTAACCTTGGTAAAAACAATTTTGTGGAGTGATGGGGTCAGGTGGAAAATTGCAGTAGTTTGAAGAATGAAGAGAAAATAGGAGAACATAGATAGAGGTACCAATGTGAATTTTCAATAAATCCTATATAATAAAGATGTAATATGCAAATTGACCATCACTCCAACACACAAGATGGCAGCCCCCATGTGGACACAAGATGGCTGCCACAGATGACAGGCAGGGGAGGGCAGTTGTGGGTGATCAGGTCAGCAGGGAAAGGGAGTTGTGGGGGACCAGGACTGAAAGGGAGGGCAGATGGGGGTCACCAGGCCTACAGGGAAGGACAGTTGAGGGGACCAGGCCTGCAGGAAAGGGCTGTTGGGGGGGGGGGGGAAAGAAGAGGAAGAACACCAGGCATATAGGGGAGGGCAGTTAGGGAGGATCAGGCTTGTGGGGGAGGGCAGTTGGGGGCGACCAGGCTGGCAGGGGAATGGTTAGTGGGTCATCAGGCAGGCAGGCAGGTGAGCAGTTGGGAGCCAGCAGTCCTGGATTGTGAGAGGACATACCTCGAGAGTTCTCAGATTGGAGAGGATGCAGGCTGGGCTGAGGGATGAGGAAAGAAGAGGAGATACTCATAATTAAGGATGGACTTTGTTTAAAGTAGGAGGTTCTTTTTTAATATGTTTTTATTGGCTTTTAGAGAGGGAGAGAGAGAGAGGGATAGAAACGTGATGAGAAAAACACATCATCAAGTGGCTGCCTCCCATAAATTCCCTACTGGGGATTGAGCCTGCAACCCAGACATGTGCCCTGACTGAGAATCAAATTGGTGACATCTTGATTCATGGGTTGATGCTCAATCACTGAACCACACCCACCAGGCATAAAATGTGAGGTTCTTGACCATGTTTCTAATTCTAGGAAAAGGGCCAGTAGAGAGAATTCTGTTCAATATGCTGTGGGGAAAAATGAGATCATCTATTAAAATACCACTACATGGAAGATGTATTATAAAATTGTACAACTGAACCCTATATAATAATTTTATTCACTAGTGTCACCCTAATAAATTCAATTTTAAAATTTCAAGCAAAGATGAATGCACGATAGAAAAATCTTTATGACCATGAACTAAGCAGAGAGTTTTTAGAAACAACACCAAAGCACACTTGATAAAGGAAAAGATTGCTAGACTTCATCAGAATTTAAAACTTCTGCTCTTTGAAAGACATGAAGAAAATGAAAAGCTGAACAAAATGTTTGTAAGTCATGTACCTTTTAAAGGATTTATTCAAAATATATAAAGAGTCCCAGTGGGTTTGGCTCAGTGAATAGAGTGTATGTCTGTGGACTGAAGGGTCCCAGCTGTGATTGTGGCCAAGGGCCCATTCCTCGGTTGCAGGTTCCCAGCCCTGTTCGTGGTATGTACAGGAGGCAACCAATCAATGTGTCTCTCTCACATCGATGTTTCTCTGTCTCTCCCTCTTTCTTCCACTCTCTTTAAAAATCATTGGAAAAATATCCTCTAGTGAGGATAAACAAAACAAACAAAAACTAAAAACAAAAACAAAAACAAAAAAACCCTCCCAAAAAATAGAAATAACTCTCAAACTAAATAATTTTTTTAAAATCACAATAAAACATGAGCAAAATATTTGAACAGACACGTCACCAAGAAGATACTCAGAGCCCTGACTGGTGTGGCTCATTTGGTTGCTGGCTTGATTCTAGGTCAGGGCTCAATCACTGGGGAGGGATAGGGATCATGCAGGAGGCAGCCGAGGCAGCCAATGTTTCTCTCTCTCTCCCTCATCTTTCCTCCCTCTCCAAACTCAATAAAAATATTTTTTAAAAGCATATGAAAAATTGTTCAACGTTATTTGTCGTTAGGGAAATGCAGATTGAAACCACAATAATATACATACCTATTAGGATGGTTATAATTTAAAAGCCTGACCATATCAGATGTTGGCAAGGATGTGGGAGAACTGAAACTTTCATACTGCTGGTGGAAAGGTAAAATGGTACAACTACTTTGGAAAACACTTTGGCGGTTACTTAAAAAGTTAAACATACACCTACCAAATAAGCCAGCCATTTTACTCCTACATAGTTATTCTGCACACAAATGTTTACAGAAGCTTTATTTGTAAAACCACTCAAATGTCCATCACCAAGTGAGTGAATAAACAAAAAATCAGTTATATCCATACATAGGCATATGACTGAGCTATAAGAAGGAATGAACTATTAAAAAACACTATAACATGGGTGAATCCTAACATAATTATGCAGAGTGAAAGAAGCTAGACTCAAAAGTGTACATACTGTATGATCCATTTATATAAAATTCTAGAAAATTCAAGCTAATCTATTGTAAAGGAAAGCAGGAATGGGGGGAAAGGATAAAGCATAAGAAAACTTTTGGGATTGATGGATATGTTCATTATCTTCATTGTGATGCTAGTTTCACAGGTCAAACTCGTCAAATTGCACACTTTATATGTACTTTATTTTACATCTATTCATCTTCAACAAAGCTAATTAAAAGATTTTAAGGCAGCATATAGAGTTCTGACTTCTGTTTTTTTAAAGAAACTTATGATATCTTATTGTTTCTATCTTTTAAATACATAAAACACCCCCATTCTTTTTTATAGCTACTTAGGATTCTATTATACACATGCAATGTAATTTGATTTTACAATTCTCCTACTGATGTCAATTTACAAACAATGCATTGAAAAACTCATACAAACTTGTTTCTGTCATATACAGGCATTTTTACAGGATATATTTCTAGAAGCAAAAATGTTAGGTCAGAAAGAAATACATTTACAATTCTGATTGTTATTGCCAAATTGAACAGTTTTCAATGCAGGAAACAGAACCATCCTGGGCATTTTAAACAGGAAGGCACTTGTGGGGAATTTGAAGCTTCCAAAGTCATTGGGAGAGTTAAAGGAATAGGATGAAGGGATCCAAGTTGAGCCTCCAGAATGTATCCGGCCATGATACAGAACTGATTCACTAGGGGAGCTTTTACTTCTGGGGTCATCGCTGAGCCATGCTGGAAGCCTGAGGCCACCACCACGACCTTTCACACCTGGGAAACCGACAAAGATCTCATAACACCATTCAGGAATACGTCAGATTATGAAGCTACTACCACCACCACCACTCCATATCCTGCTGTATAGCAAAAGGTTTCTCACAATATTGCAACATTCAAGAACCTCAAGAAGATGCCTGTGCCTCACTTCTCTTCTCAACTCATGTGGAAAACATAAAGTTGAGGAAATATAATTGGTTTCCAGAACTCTTGCTATATGAAAAAGTCTGGTAAATGTATTTATTTCCACCCTCTCTAGGAAGGTAAATTGACAAAATACAGACTATGTAGTTCACCATCCTGGGTGGTTGTTCCAATATATGCCCCTACATGTAAAAACACTTGCTTCCTAATTCTTACCAATAATATCTAGAACATAGCACAATGCTTTATGAAATTAAAAAAAAAATCTTCCTCAGATGTGGTTCAGTTGGTTGGAGCATTGTCCCATGCACTGGGAAGTCATGGGTCCAATTCCTGGTCAGGGCACATTCCTAAGTTTCAAGTTTGGTCCTGGTTGGGGTGCCGAAGGGAGGCAGGCAATCAATGTATTTCTCTCATATTGATGTTTCTCACTCTTCTATCCCATCCCCACCTTCCTCCTTTCTCTAAAATCAATTTTTAAAAAATCTTTCTTAATCAAATAGGTTTAAAAACTAGCGTCTCAGAGTAGTCTTACTTTGTACAGTGAAGTTGAATTTTTTTTCAGCTTGAATAATTAATATTCATTTTTGTAAAAATTCTATAGTTTTGGATCTTTTCCCTTTTGTACTACTGAACTTTTATTGAATTATAGGAGGGTTTTTTTTGTTTTTTTTTTACATATTAAGCAATACATAATATAATTTGCAAATTATTTTCCCAAATTGGTCATTTTTGTTTATTTTATGGTTTTTGCCATGAAGAACTTATTTAACATAGTGATATAATTTATCATTATAATTTTATAGTGAAAACTTTTTTTGTTTCTGGATTTTATATTGAATTTAGAAAAGCCTTCACACCACACTAAAATCTTTTACGATTCTCCAATGATTTCTTCAAGTACTTTAAACATTTTAGTTTTCATACTTTAAACTGGATTTTATTTTGGTATAAGATATGCATCCAACTTTATTTTTTTCCTGGAAAAAGCTACCTAGGTATCCTAACACCTTTCAATGAGTAAGACATATTTCCCCCCACTGAACTGAAATGTCATCTTAATCTTGTACTAAATTTCCATATCTGGGTCTATTTTTGACCTTTTAATTGAGTTCTAATGATCTGTTTAGCCATATGCTAGGACAAAACTATTTTAATTACTAGAGTTCTCTATTTTGATACTTCGTAAGACTAGTCTACCCTCATTGCTTTTTGAGAGCTTTCCTGGCCAGTCCTGCCTCTCAAGGAACTTTGGAATCAGCTTTCTAGTTTTGAAAAAGCCTGATATTTTTATTGGGGTCACATTGCATTGATAGATTATTTTACATCAATCTCCTCCACTTCTAAAGTCTCTAAATACTCTAATTCTCCCTCTCAATTTTAAAGGTCCTCAAGGACATGAATTTATACTAGTATATTTTGTGTACCTTTTAGAGCACCAGTAAAATGCTTTGCATTGAATGACTCGTGATTAACCCCTACCATGAAAATAGAAACACAAAGTGCCTGCTAAGTTCTAAATCTGTCCAGTTCATTTATTCACCACTTTGTCAGCTCCCACTAATTTTCTTCTAAAGAGACTAATCAATTCTGCCCATTCATAGCATCTAATTCGTTTCTCCTCTCACACTGATATCTTTTAAAGTATCACTCATATATTTTACAACAAAGTAGGCATTTAGTTCATAAGCTTTTTCATTAGATTTACATATGAGGTTGCAGGGAAAATTAAAATGTTTTAGTCTCAGGTTTGCTTAACAGTCTTGGTGATACTCATACATTGTTCATAGCAGTTTTCCTAAATCTATGTATGATTTTATTTTATTTTTTATTTTTTTATTTTTATTTTTTAAATATATTTTATTGATTTTTGTACTGAGAGGAAGGGAGA